GATGTGTATAAGAGACAGTATATATATATATATATATATATAGACAGACAAAAGACAGATAGCAGAAACCCCCGGGTTCGGATCTCTGTTGGGAATTTTTTCGAACTCGCAATTTCCTCTTCTTTACCGTTTATAGACAGCAGAAGGTGTCTGGCTCGAATCCCGGTTGGACAATTTGTTTCGATGTTTATTGTTGAGAATGGGTTTTGACAGAGGCGTTTATTTTTTGTGTGAAATGATACATGTACACTTTCATTACATATTGAACTACAACACATTACCGTCAAATTGCTTGAATTGAAAACAATTGTGTGATCATAGAAGACGTATGGTATGGATCCCAACCAGGTTAGAAAAAAATGTACCGGTATTCTGCTGGAGTAGAATGCTACTGTTTGTGCTTTCTGTTTGATATTAATTTTTTATTAGGCCTATAAGTTTTTCTTTACCAATGTTTTGATGTAATTGTGGAATGATTTTCTGAATAAACTCAAATTAAATCAAATTATATTATTATTATTATTATTATTATTATGTTTATATATATATATACATATATGTCTTGATTATTTAAATGTATTATGTATTGATTATGAATTTCATATCTCGATATTTTAATCGATCAAGTTTATTTGTACTATTGTGCTTTTATTTTCGAATTGAAATTATATATATACTGTATATATACATATATACATATATATATATATATATATATATATATATATTTTAAGTCATGTATCATGCATAGGAACGTTGACGTCTGCAAGGCTCTGGTTTTTTTTCAAATTTATGCTCTTTTTAAGAAATAAAAAAAATTATGTTTAATGTTATCTTTGTTATTCATACCCTGCATGCGCCTGAAAAGCCATGGCCTGAGTTTTATGTTACATTCTTTTTTTTCTTTTTTTATTATTGTTATGAATAAAGAATTGGTTGATCTTGAGCAGGCCTACCTACTTTCAGTACAGCACTTATTCAATTTACAAATTTTACAAAGGTGATCAATCCATATACCGCTGGTCCGGCATGTTCAATTTTTGCGTCCGGGAAAGGCACTGATCCCAGAGCCTCACTGCTGTTCTTGTTCATGTTGTCAGAACTTTAAAAAAGCGTCCAGCGTCGCCAGTTTTGAACGGACGTGCAGGAAATGTTGTACACATAATAGAGGTGATTTCCAACAAACGTTAATCCCCTACACCTACAAAACAAAACAGGGGTTCCAGAGGGACTGTACATTGCTGCCATTACCACTAATAGACACGTCGCATGGATGGTGCGGTTGGTTAATATGTTCTAAAGAACTTGTTGGGAGTTCTGAATCCTGGACGTAGACGACTATTACCACCTATTGATCCGCACATGAGTATCATTTTAAATAATCATTCTATGAAGCCCAGTTGGCCAAATGCTGCGAGTATTGCCATATATAACAGAATCTAAAGCATGATATTGAATACTCTACGTTTTTAACTAAAAATTGTAGAAAGATCGTTGCAAGTGGATGTCAAATTACCTTTTAAATAAAGGTTACAGGCCTACCTGTAAAGAATATGGTAAAAATAGATTATAAAATACATTCTAAAATGTTGTGATATATGTAGACATTCCTATTCGTCACGTACTGGTTTTTTTAGTGACTAACATGGTCACTTTATGTTATATCATATTCCATTATATTTGGTGAACATAATACGTCGCTTTTGTATCAGCCGCACTCACTAAGTGGTACGTTTCACTTACCTACTATATCTGAATACTCGGTTCATCTCATCATCATGTGTTCAGTGCTTTCTGTCGTGGGCCGGGTTTGTGTCAAGTGCTTGGTTGGTGTCCACAATACCCTTTACAAATTGCCATTAAACATTGTCAATAACTAATCCATTACCAAAACATTCCACTTTTTATTCCATAAATCAATTGTACCACTATTGATAGCTATACACTGCTCCGCTGACTTTTCAAATTTAAGCATATTTTTAAAGTGTACAATATTTGGATTTTTTAAAGGCATCTACAAGGCATCTAAATGGGCCACCGTTAAAAACGGTGGCCCATTTCAAATCAACCGGGGGGGGGGGGTGGTAAAAAAAAGTTAAATATATATATATATTTTCATGATTTGAATTTTTGTATGTTTCTGTAAAATTATTCTTCTATGCTAATAAGTTTTATTGAATAAATTGAAATTGAAATAATAGATGTTTTAAAATAAAAATTTCAGGAGTATGCTTCGAGCCTGGTAAAATCATGCATTTGCTTAATGGCCCAGATCCCGTAAGGCGCATAGACTTGCAGGGTTTTTACGGAAATGCTGAAGAACATAATATTGAATGCCCCAAGGACAACGATCGCCGACAAGTCATCGAACGAGCAAAATTAGAAGAGAATAAGCTATTTAATGGTAAAGTATACAATCTGGTATGGAACAACTGTGAGCATTTTGCTAGGTATTGTCTTACAGGTAAGGCAGAAAGTAAACAAGTGCAAAAATGTAGCTTACCTACGAAGATGGCGCTTATTATCTTACCTTTGGCTTTCTTAAGTTCTTCTAGTTCAGGTTCAAGTGAGTTAGCATCATCATCCCCATCAGCATCGTCATCAGCATTAGCATCGTCTTCAGCATCAGCATCGGCTTCAGCATCAGCATCGGCTTCAGTATCATCATCAGCATCAGAATTATTAAATTTTTTATTTTCATCATCATTATTATTATTATTTTTTTATTTTTTTTATTATTTTTTAAATTTCCTTCATCAAGTACACTTGTCATTTACAGGAGAGAATGATGCTTTATAAAAAACAAGTCTCTTTATGAAGCTTAGGGAGTGGAATTATTTTTGGTCGTGAGAAAAAGTCCAGATGTGACTGGAATTAAACCCAGGACCTTGGGATCAGAAGAGAAGCATCTTAACCACTGGGCTATTCAACTCCACTCCACTCAAATTATTATTATTGGCTTTCCTAGCAGTAGCAGAAAAAGCCAATTTTTTTTTCTACCTTTTGTATATGGTTTTCTGCCCGGCACTTTGGTCACTTTCCATCCCTGGATCTTTTCCAAACTTTGTCAAACATAGATCATATACCAAAGATGTACCACGTAACATTTTGTGACAAACCGTGAGTGGGGTGTGGATGTGAGGACCAATTAAAGCGATTTAAAGGGAAATACTTCACACTAGATGTTTTTGAAAACGGATCACCTAATCTGAATGAAACTTTCGGGAAAGTTTAACAAAGTTAAATGTGAGGGTCATTTTAATTTCTGACGTCCCAGATCTAAATATCTCAAAAATCGTATTAATGGATCTAAATTAAACTTTCTATAATAGCTTGTCATAGTCCAATAAAAAAAAAAAAACTACATTTTGGTGACCATCTGAAGTAGTGTGTAGATATGAGTACCATTCAAAAATAAACGTACCAGGCCAGATATTTAAAAAAAAAACCGGATAAAATGATCTGAATGAAACTGGACGTTTGTGACGATCCAGTATTGAAGTCATTTAAAGTTCTAACGTCCCAGACCTAATATCTGCAAAAACCTGTCAATAGATCTAAATGAAACTTTCTGTAATAGTTTGTCATGGTCCATTTGAATTGATTACACTTGTGTGACGATCCGAAGTAAGGTGTGGATATGAGAAACAGATAAACTGATCTGAAAGAAACAGTGTAAACCACATTGGTAATTATAGGAACACATGACACCATGTAGAATCCAAGAGTTTCTGGAATCTTGGGTACTTTAGAGGCAAATAAGCCTAATTGGTTAATTATGATGTAAGGTAACCAATGGGGAACTTAGGCAATATGTTGTACTGAACTGAATACAAATAATTGTTTTACAGTAGATAGTTACAGAAAAATCCTTAGACAAAATCTTTGGGGAAACAAATTGATTTGTCACAATAACAAATAATTATGGTTCAGGGCATGGATAGATTCGAATTTTAAACGAATCAAGAATATTGTTATAAAAAATCGAATAATGACGTCCAATGAAATTTTAAATAAGTTAGTTGATAAAAGAAACTGGCTTAGTTGAATACGCCTCGTTAATACAAGCTATTCCAAAAGAGTGGTTGTACGTCATAAGACATTACAATGGTATTGGCAATGACGATTTCGTGATGACTGATGAATATGATAGTATAGGTAAAATGAAAACAAAAGACATTTATTCATGTTTTGTTGATAAAATGTTTATCCCACCCTATGTTGAATGTAAATGGGATCTATTTATTGGAGAAAAAATAAACTGATCTAAGGTCTGGATGAGAAAAATAAAGGAAGAAAAAAATAGAAAATATGCACAACTAAATTATAAATTGTTAAACAAAATCTCGCCAACAAATAGGCAATTGTATAAATGGAAGTTAAAACACACTGACATGTGATACGTGTGGAGCAGTCGAAGATGAAAAGCACATGTTTTTTGAATGTCTACAAAACAGGATATTATGGGAAAATATAGACAATCTATTTAAGAAATTTGACAATAGTCAATTTTCTTTTAAAGAATTATTAATAGGCTGTGATAGCAAAATTAAAAATGAAATATATTCCATTGCAGTATTTGCTATATACAAAATTAAAACTCTAACAGAGCTAGGTAAGCCAGTTTGTAAAAATGCATGGATTATATTTAAGAATTTTGTAAAAGAAAATAATTATGAAGGGAACGTTATACTTGAATGAGTTTTATTTTGTTATCTAGTATAATTATCATTGTACTAATTTTGAATACTTGGGATTAAATTGTAATATATTTGAAAGTATATTAAATTAATTAAGAGTTACATTATTATAAATATTTAAAAAAAAATATGAAAAGAAACAATGCAATAAGGTTTGGTAACCACACAAGAAAAAAAAAATATATATATATATATATACATATTTAAAAGTATATATACAGCAATGTAGTATAGTTTACTTTGAACACTTTAGATTGTAAGCTGAATATACTTACTTATGCTAAGGTCATAGTGTATGCATGACTTAGTTGTGTAATTGGTATCAATATTACCGCAGTCCGAGCTTAGTGAATAAAAATGTTTAATATTGATGGTAACAATTTGAAAATCAGGAAAAAAAAATGGTGAAATAAAGGCGGAAAGACCCCACAAAAGAGAAAAAAAACTTAGGCAATATGGAATGCTCTGGAGTTGTACAGCTAGGTTATATAAGCTGATGTAGTTTTATCTTTCTGGAGCTCTTTTTGAAACACATGATTATGTGAATGTTGTTGTGTTATTTTCATACCGGATTCTTGTTGGAGTTTATACAGAATAAAAGTTTATTTCAGAGTTGTGTTACAACTTTGTGAGCTGTGTTTATATTTTATATGTCAAAGAGGGATTCCTTGTCATTTCTATACCGCTCGAAAATACGTCAGATAGGAATTCATGACATATTATGGTGGCAGCGGCGGTTGTTCTACTGCATGACATATATAGTAGCAGCTGCGGTCGTGTTCTACTGTAACCAAGGATATATCGTTTTATTTAACTGTGGAATCGTTTACAATTGCAGTAAGTAGTCTGTAATTTGTTTTAGACAGTGAACATTGACTAATCTTTATATTTGGGGCAGTAGACTTGTTAACGTATCGGTAACCACGATTTACTACAGTAGTAACAAGACGCTCAGACCAAATTTTAATTATGGCTGATAGACAATCAACAACTACATCCGGTAAGGAGTATGAAGGCGACGACAATCATGACACAGATGAGGAATATGTTCAGTCGCAACATTCAGAACAAGATACAGAAAACGCTATGGCACGTGGAAAACCAGGAGCGCTTACACAAGCAAGAAATGGACAAGCAAATGGCTTTAGTAACGACGCTGATTGATAAACAAAGGGAAAGCGATGACAAACGTCTTAAAGACATTATGAAACGGAAGGAGATCCAGATTGCAAGTTGTCGGAGGGCGATGATATTGAGAACTACTTCACGTTTGAACGAATCGCAAACACCAACGAGTGGCGAAAGGAGCACTGGGTGGTGAAACTGATCCCTCACTTGACGGGCTAGGCACGAGCAGCTAATGCAGCACTACCGATGACGGATAGCAATGATTATGACAAGGTAAATGAAGCCATATTACGAAGGTATGATATTACAGAAGAGACATATAGACAGAGGTTTAGGGCTATTAGAAAGAAAACTGAGGAAAGTTATAGAGATGTATATGTAAAGTTAAAAGATTTATTTACCAAGTTGCCTAAACCAAGTGACAAAAGTAAAGATGATTTGGCAGAATATTCATTTTAGAACAATTAGTAGAAATTATGCCCACAGGGGTACAAATTTATGTTAAAGAACATAAACCTAAATCAGGCTTGAATGCTGCAGAACTAGCAGATAATTATTTTCAGGCTAGAAAAGGTGTACAATTTGACAGGAGGGTTCAGCCTCGAAATTTTGAAAACAAATATAATCAGGAAAAAACTGATAAGGGTACTGCTGAAGCATCATCGAAGAGTAGTACTAAACCATTTGATCAAATTCACAAATCACAGTCTGACACTAGACCACCTCTTGTGTGTAGACGTTGCAAGAAAATAGGTCATATTGAAAGGTTCTGTCGTAGTAAAGACGCCTACTTGTCAAGAAAGACAAATAATGTGCAACATACGTTTTACCATTGTAGAGGCCTAGTGGAAGGATGTGATAGTGAAATTTGGTTAGATTCTGGATGTGACATGACACTTGTTGATATTGATTTAGTTGCCCCTAACTAAATCAATCGTGAAGACCAGGCTAAGGTTACATGTAGGTGTGTCCATGACCACGTCCAAGCATACCCTACAGCCTATGTAAACATTAAGGTGGGAAATGAAGACCATAGTTTGTTGGTAGGCATCAGCAAAAATGTGCCTGAAGATGTGATTATTGGTAGAGATTTTACCAATTTTGAACTGTTGTTAAAGAAGGGTGATACGAGCCATGACGTTCATGGTTTGGTTGTAACTAGGGCTCAGGCTAGGACTGATAGGCATAGAGAAGAGAAAGAGTTGAAGGAGGAAAAGGTTTGTGGCGTAGTTCCCGGGCAGTTAGATGAATAAGGTTTATAAGACTAAGAGTGAAAAAAGAAAGGTTATGAAAGAGTTTGCAAAGAACGTAGAAGCCAAGTCCAGTCAGAATGGAGAGTTAAATATTTTGGACATAGGTGTAGATAAAATTAAAGAATATCAGATCAAGGATAGGACCTTGGATCCTCTTAGAAAACAGATGTTAGTACAGACAGGGAAAGAGATTTACAGATAGTCTGTAAAGATGGCGTCTTATTCAGACAGGTTTTCCCTAAACTCCAGTTTGAACCAATAGAACAGTTGGTGGTTCCAAAACCGTGTCGTAACAGTGTGTTAAAAGTCTCACATGATATTCCACTGGCAGGTCACATGGGTAGAAAGAAGACGTTACATAGGATCACACAGCGATTCTTTTTGACAGGAGTTAGAAAGGATGTGGCAGAGTATTGCAGCCCTTGTGAGAGTTGTCAGAAAACTTCAAAGTATAAGACTAAGTTTAAACAGGGTTCGTACGCGTCCTTAAATTCTTTGAATGTCCTGGAAAAACAAATGAGCATTTTCCAGTACTGGCAAGTCCTGGAAATTTAATATTGTCCTTGAATGTCCTATAAATTTGATCATTTACCATTAATTGCAGTACTACAAGTTGTCTAGTAACAGTAAATTGAATGAGAAACGTTCTTACAAGTGGTTCCCACAATTATCTTAGGAGAATCAGGTAAAGTCTTTGTACGCCGCCAATTCAGGAATGTTATCAAAGACAGAAAGAATGTCATTGCTGAAAATGACCGATTAGCTGGTTGAGACAAACTTGTGCGATTCAGTGAATGGAGTTGTTCGCCTGTGTTTTAGTGAAGGCGGTACTTTTTTTTTAAATCTTGTAAAATAATAATGTTTGCATTTAATTTTAATTCAGACATTGATATATAATCATAATCGTTAACTTTGCTATGGTGTTATTTGCTTTCTGTCGTGTGTTATAATCAGTACTGAAATATTGAAGCGAATTCACCGGGCTGAGCACGACAAGACCTGTTCAACTTTCAATCAGTTGAACAGGTCTTGTCGCACGCGCTGAGCTCGGTGAATTCGCTTTGAGTAATTCATCACTCTTCAGACGCGCACACATGTTCAGCACGAATGGGCATGTTTTGTCCCTATCGAGCGCAAGGCAGTTAATTAACATTTAAAGTAACCATGAGAACGTGTACTTAACTACGGTTTCTTAGTGAATGGCGTTTACTGTTTGAAAAACAATGCTGGTCGGCAGCAGATCAGTGCCGGTATTTAGCTGTAGAGTACATTATAAAAGTTGCAGGCCTACAACTAAGGCCTAATAATAATAGACCTATGTATTAATAATAATAATGTTAGGCTTAATAGTAATAAATAATACAGTATAGTATAATGATGTGTTGAGAATAGAGCATAACCATTAAATTAATAATATAGTACATCATTCGTTTATACAACTTTATAAACACCTAAATATATATGAAATTTACGGTGGCTGATTTCCGCCAAATAACAAAAAATAATATTTATTATTACGGCGTTATAACGCCCTAATACGGCGTTATAACGCCCATAACGTTTTGGTGACGATACAGTTTAGTGTAATGTGAGAGTCGTTCTAATTTCTGACGTCCCAGACCTAAATATTTCAAAAAACTTATCAACGGATAATTTGTCATGGTCCAGTAAAGAAATGACTACATGTTGGTGAAGATCCGGAGTAGGGTGTGGATATGAGAACCATTTAAATGAAAACGTCCCAGGCCAAATATACCAAAAACTAATCCACCTACCTGAATGTTTTTTTTAGGAAAGTTTAACCAAGTTACAAGAAAATAATTAATAAATTTTAGTGACGACCCAGAATCGGGTGTAAATTTGAAAGTCATTTAACATGCAAACGTCCCAGACCTAAATATCTCAAAGAGTTTTTGATGGTCTAATGAAGAAATTATTAAATTTTGGTACCGATCCGGAGTAGGGTGTGGATATGAAGACCATTCAAAGGGAAATGTCCTGGGCCAGATATATCAAAAACTGATTAACTGATTGAATAAAACTCTCTGGAGTCTAAGTTACAAGGAAGAAATTATTAAATTTTGGTGACGATCCAAATATCGGGTGTGAACTTGAGAATTATTTGAAGTGCTAAGGTCCCAGACGTAAATATCTCAATTCCAATGGATCTAAATGAAACTTGACAATATAAAGGTTAAAGGTAAAAGGTTATTCATTTATAGTTTGCCATGGTCCAATAAAGAACTCAAAATTACAGTGAAATGTATGAACAATTTTCGCTCTCAATAAATGAATTACCATGAACTAAAAATGCACTGATGTACGTAGGTTTGGCTCATATAGCGCACACTGGTTTTGAGTCTCCATATCACCCTCGATATTACCATTGCAGCTATAGTTCGAGTCTCACTAATATTTTTTATAGCCATCGTTTTTTTTTTCTAATTTATTTTTATTCTCTCTTTTCCTATGCTTTTGCACAGGTTTTTCTGACCGGCACCTAGGTCACATTCTTACTGACGTCGAGTTAATTTTCGTTTATTTTAACTTCATAATTTTCCTTAGTGTGTAATTTCATTTTTGTTTTTCGTGTTTTTTTTACGTTAAGCTTTATGAATAAGGTTATTTTTTTTAAACATCACTTCTCATTATGGCAGTAAGAAGAAGCCCTATGTTCTGTTTTACAAACAAACATATTAAGTCAAGTTATTGTTATTATTATTATTATTATTATTACCTCCGCCAACGAAGTTGGTAGAAAGTTATGTTTTCGCCTGGTTTTTCATTTAGCTATTTATTTGACTGTCGGCATATTTCTTGTGAACAGCCTACATCCCACAGTTTTTATCAGAAATTCGTCAAACGTGGCCACAATGTTCCTTTACCTAAGATCTAGAGCTAATTAAATTTTGTGAAGGGTCATGGTCAAAGGTCAAGGTCACAATCAACGAGAAACTATTTTTAGTTCCTATGCTTTCAAGCAAAGGAACCTTTAGGATACCCTTCGTGCGTATGTATGTATATGACATGTATGTTACGCTGTGTTTTGTAAACAGGCAAAAGTGACTTTCCAGATATCTGTTCGTTATGAACATCCGTACCCAAGCAAAACTGGATATGACGTTGTGCCCTATTTAATAATTTTCTATTTTGAAAAATATTAAAGCCATAACTAATGAAAACAATACCCCCTATCCTTGAAAAGACTAGTTCTACTGACAAAATGCAAAAGTACAGTATTCAATGAAACCAGTTTTCATAATTGCAGTTTAATTTTGACCCGAACAGAAACCGGCTTTCTCCTAAGGAGGTCGTTGTGCAATGACGTCATTTTTACCCACAACGCAGTTCGTTAGGCGGAAGTGCGATGAATCGTGAAAATCTCCAGGTCAACAGAAATTCATTCGGTCGGCTCGAGTACTTGAGTAGTTGCGCGAATATTCGAAATGGTACCCTCTGCGATGCGTTTCTTTCTTTTTTTTACCATGGGCTTTGTTTAATCGGACAAACATTAACAGAACACTTATTAATAATAATACTCAGCATGATTTTTTGTATGGGCACGATGCGCAAGAAGAAGACAGGTGTTGGCCGGCGCGATAATTATCGGGACAACAAACAATAAGATTAAAGTATTTTTATTAGAAGTGCAGACTTCGTGCATGCAGAGAGTGGTTATGTTGCGAGTCTTGACCTAACTGCTTTCAATATTCCTTCTGCCACATATATATATATGTATGTATATATATATTATAAATTATTATTATATATTATATCATAAGTTGCTTGGGAATTTCCAGTACATATAATAATCACTGCTTTGGTAATGTAATATAGGTCTATTATGTTATCATTAATGGTTCTTTTGTTATGTAAATATTTTCATTCATATTTGTATCGATTTTAATGGTAACCATGCACTAGGCCGACGTCACTTTCTTTACACTGCCTGTATGTTAAGGTGTGGTTGATCTAAGGTAAGCAATTTATTTGTAAACCTATTTAAAATGTAATAGGCCTATATGGCGAGCCGAATTGTCATTTAGTCGCAAATAGAGATACCTTTGTATTGAATAGAGTTATCTTTATTCTAAATAGAAATATCTCTACTATTAATAAGAATAGGCACTTCTAGGTGTCCGGAAATGGCATCTCTGTACTGCAAAAATGCTTTTCAGAGCTGTGTTCCCTTAACAAATGTTTCGGCTTCTCCTCGCCGATAAAGGATTCTGCACCCCATTTCCAGAGGCT